CTCAAGATTTTCTTTTGTCTTCTTAGCCTAAGACATTCTCCTGCTTTTGCTTTTTTTTTTTTTCACATACATTGTTGCCTACAAGATGAGTTGCTTTGAGGGCAAGGAATACGTGTTATACTTCCTTTCTGTATTCCCTACTATACCAAACAAGTACATGAACTACAGAATAAATTCAAAATCAGTAGGTTTTTCTAATCCTTTCTATATTAAAAATGCCAACTGCCCTTCCATTGTAGAAGTCTCAGCTGTCTTCTTGACAACATGTCTACTTTATAGAAGGACAGTGAGGATGGAAAAGAGAGACAGTATATTTTAAGGAGTAAACCCAATGTCACTTTGCTGGACCCAAAGTTTATTACATATTGCAAATGTCCTCATCTTGCGTACTACCATGTGAGTCCCAACCCAACTGCTTCCACCACTATCCACTGAGAAAAGAAGGCCTGACATAATGCAGGGACTGATACTTACGGTATTACACTAACCTAAGCAACCAGCCTTTGAACTGGAAGTCATGGCATAAAGAATACTAAGAAAATTGGACTTTTAAATTAATAGTCAGTGTATTTTTATTAATTTAGACTATTTGCCACTGTAATACAGAAATAAGGTACAGCCCTGCCTGAGGCCAACTCTAGTTTGCAGTGTCCATGAGGTTTTCTTTATCCCCCTCTATAACAGCTACTTTTATATCAAGAGCACCACACTTCCTCAGTCACACATATGATGGGATACTCAAAGAAACAGCTGAGCTTTTATTCAAATTAAAATAGCACACTAGCCCCCTTCTGCAATTAGTTTTTACAAAAGGCTGTTACAGAATTGCTGGCTTACAGTGTCTTATCCATAAACTCATGAAATAAATAAAATTACTTGATAATATACATGTTCTTATTTCTTTTAACTTTCTGCCTTTTGTTTATTAAAGGCTGCAAAGAAATTTGTTTCTGGAAAGAAGTCAATGGCAGCAAGCGGAAATTTGGGGCACACACCTTTTGTTGATGAGCTGTAATGCCGAAACACATTGTAAAAAAGAGCTGGACATTTTCTCAACCCAGAGCAGCAAACACGTGAAAGTCACAAGTCTGTAAAGTAACATTTATCTTTTTTTTTCAATGAGGTGAAATAATCTTTAAAAGTATAAATGCAGGTAATTGTTTCCAGCCAACCTAAAGTCAATAAAACATCCTAAGTGTTTTCTTGTGTTTGTTTTCTAATCAGTTAATCAACAAGTATTTATTTGCAGACATCTTTGTTTTAGATGCTGTGAAGGAGAACAGAATATGATAGTGTGAGAGACTATTAAATGAAGGTTGAGTAGCTATTAGCCAGTATTTCCAGGCTATTGTTGGTGGTGCCTCTTTGAGATAAAAGCAGACTTCTGGTCAGTATGGGAGCATCATGGCTCACTTTCTCATACAACCACATCAAACTTACAGCAAAATCGTAGAACAACTATGAAGTCGAATGGGAGTTTGTCAACTTTGGAATTAAAGAATCCCCATCCATCCAGACTGGTAGGAGGGGTAGAAACGTGGAACAGATTGGTCCCACATTCATGTAAAGTGGATAACACTTTGGGAGTGATAGCTCAGGAGTGAAGAGTCCCAGCCCCACACTAGGCTCACCAGCCCAGGGTTGCAGTGCCAGGAAGGTAAGTCCCCATTACTTCTGTCTACAAAAACCAGCAGGTACTCAATTGGGAAAAACCTCTGGAGTCCCCAGCAGTTTCCCTTGAAGAGCCCACATATGCTCTCACCTACTCAGATTTACTCCCTCTGAGCTCTAGCACTGGAGTAACAGCTTGAAAGGCACCAGTGGCATCCAAGAAGGAACTGAAGTTTCTGGTATCAAGGTGTGAGCTGGGGGTCAGCTTTCTCCAGCACAGGTGGGTAGCAGCAATTGTCACTTTTCTGAGTGTACCTCTGACAGAGCCATCTAGTAGAAGCCGTCCATATCTGAGACTCCCATCAACCTTGCTAACATTGTTTCCCCTCCCCTGGGGATACCCTCAGGCTCTGTCCTACCCAATTTACAGCTGTTAACGGTAGCTATTTTATATGAATGACTGGTCTTGGTTCATGCCTCACAACTTTCCAAATACTCTCAAGGAACAGCCTGCCTCAGTGAATTCCCTTCCTCCCTACCTCTTGCTAAGTGGCCCCAGGCCTGGCTGTAGTAGCAGTCACCTAGATTCACAACTTGGCTTCCCCTGGAAATCTCTAAGCCCTGCACAAGAAGCAGCCATCTCAGATTGCTTTATAGTTCAGGCAGGGTGGTCCTGGGCAAAACAGGTGGGAGCTGACCTTGGCCTGCACCCCCAGGAAACCCCAGAGCCTGTGCACCCAGTGGACAGGTACAGATCACATCCAAACACTACCACCCTGCCTCTCCACAGCTGATCCTCCACAGAGGATGGACGTTGGTTTCAGTGGTCACAGCCAAACACTGGAGCTCACTGGCCTGGGTAAATCCCTTCCATTGACCTGTGACACCAACCAAGTCTCAACTACAAGAGGAGGGTGAACTCAGCCCACACAAAAGGCATATCTTGATTACCCAGTTTGGGTCAGAGGGGAGCCTGTGCCTCTAACTCTTCAGGACACCTACTACATTAGGCCACGATACCAAGACAGGGAGTCATAGCAGCTCTACCTAACACGGAGCCTGCTAAAACAAGGAGACAGAGACATGGCCCAGACGAAAGGACAGATCAACACTCCAGAAAAAGAACTAAACAAAATGGAGGTGAGATAATCTATCAGATGCAGATTTCAAAACATTGGTTATAAGGATGCTCAGGGAACTTAGGACCTCAACAGCATAAAAAAAAGATCGAGTTAGAAACGAAGGATACACTAATTGAAATGAACAATTTACAGGAGAACAACAATAGAATGGATGAAGCTAAGAATCAAATCAATGATTTGGAATATAAGAAAGCCAAAAACAACCACGCAGAACAAGAAAAAAGAATCCAAGACAAATGAGGATAGTGTAAGCGGCCTCTGGGACAACTTCAAGCATTCCAACATTCCCATCTTAGGGGGACCATAAGAAGAAGAAAAAGAGCAAGGAATTGAAAATCTACCTGAAAAAATAGTGAAAGGAAACTTTCCTAATTTGGAGAAGGAAATAGACATGCAAGTCCAGGAAGCACAGAGTCCCAATTATTATGGATGCAAAGAGGCCCACTCCAAGGCACTTCATAATGAAAAGACCAAAGGTGAAAGATAAAAGAATCTTAGAAGCAGCAAGAGAAAAGCAGCTAGTTACATACAGGGGAATTCCCACAAGACTTGTGAGTTGATTTCTCAAAAGAAGCTTTACAGGCTAGAAGGAATTGGCAAGAAATATCCAAAGTCATGAAAAGCAGGGACCTACAGCCAAGATTGCCCCACTCAGCAAAGATATCATTTAGAACCACAACGCAGATAAAGAGCTTCCCAGACAAGAAAAAACTAAAGGAGTTCATCATCACTAAACCATTATACGAAATGTTAAAGGGACTTATTTGAGAAAAAACATTATCAAAATGATGAACAATAAAATGGCAATAAATACATATCTTTCAGCAATTGAATCTAAAACACAAACTAAGCAAACAAGAACAGGGACTGATACAGAGAGCACTTTGATGGTTGCCAGATGGGAGGATGGGTTTGGGGGGATCAGTGAAGAGGCGAGGGAATTAAAAAGTAGAACTAGGTAGTAACAATAGCCATGGGGATATACAGTACAGTATAGGGAGTGGAATAGCCAAAGAACTTACATACATGATCCATAGACATGAACAATGGTGTGGGAATTGCCTGAGTGACTAAAGGGTGCTGGGTGGTGAGGGGCAAAGGGAAAAATTGGGACAAGTGTAATTGCATAATCAATAAAATATAATTTTAAAAATATTGTTTGTGATGACAACAACAACAAAAAGATAAAAACTGTTAAAATCTCATTTTGGGTAAGAACAATTAAATGGCCTGGATTTTATTCCTTTCTTGCAATAGAGTTATTTTTGAAAAACATAAATTCCCTATTAGTCGTGTCCTATATCTGTACTGCTTCATTTTGTATATCTGCTTTATCTTCACTGTGACAGAGCTTGTCTTCTCTCATCTCCTTCTCCCTCATCTGTTTTTATCCTGTCTCTTTCAAGTACCGTATTTTGCTGTGTATAATGTGTACTTTTCTTACTCAAATTTTTGAGGGAAAAATAAGGATGTACATTATACATGGGCAGTACCTGAAATACCTTATATCTATTCTTGGGTTTTGTAACTTGTTACATAAAATTTCTTATACCATAATATGTTAAAAAATAAATGCTAAAATTCTTTTGTAATACAAAAAACAAGTATCTAAATATAAATAAATAGTTGAATTTTAAAAATTAAAAGACTTTTTCCTGACAGTTTGGGCCAAAAACATGGGTGTGCATTATACATGGGAGTGCACTATACACAGCAAAGGAAATGCTGTGTATAGTGCTGTGCAAGGAAATCTAGCAAAATACACTAGTTACCAATGAACACCAACATTTAGAGTAAAAGTGGGGCAAAAGGAAAAAAATTCTAATTTGAACAACTAGCCAAAAATATCTGTTACTTAAGTAGGGCAACTGGAGTTTGCAAAACAAGAGAAACTAAATATCTAAATAACAATATGTACTTACCTTAAAAAGTAAAATTCTCTACTATGTTCATACATTCTAATATTAGGCTGCTCAGCTGCATATTCTAAAAGATGAGACATTTTTCTGAGATAGGAGGGTCTTAATGACTGAGTGATGGTGCTGTTTTAAGAATAAAATTTTTCAGGGCTCTTGGCCCACCAAGTCTTGAATATCACATTGAAGAGGGTCTAAAGGCTTCACAACAGCTGTGAAATAATTGGTTAAGTCTGCACATATTTCTGTAAGTACAGGAAAGCTGTATATGGCAGTGCACAAAAATTGGGTATTTTCCAGAGAAATGCTCCTATGATCACAGATTTGTAAACTAGTAACCAACTTTTGATGCATGTTGACCCTTGCCCTTTTCAACTTGGGCATAGTCTTCCAGCCAGAATATGTCTGAGGCTGAGGAGGAGGAGGAACTGTCTTTGTCTTGCTTCACCATTGTCCAGTATGGGGAAGGAGCTCTCAATTCTTTCTTGTGGTCTCTGTGAATCATGACATCACAGTTAATGTCTGTTCCTACACTGATAGTCTGGCTCTTCTTTTTATATTCATGCCATTCTCTGGAGATTGACATCGGTCTTCTTGCAGGATGATGCCCAGTGGACTGTGGGGATTTATAATACTTAAGTTTTTTATCTAAAACTGCGTCTTCCTTGTCCTCAGTGCTTGCGAAAGAGTCTTTTGTCTGCTCAGTTTTCTTGTTTGTGCTGGAAATAAAAGAATAGTTAAGTGAAAAGTGTCCTTAATATCTTATCATTGGCTTTGGCACATAGAAGAAAGGATACAATTTAACTTTAGCACTGCCTTTTTTGAGTTGTGGACATTTTTCTCTTTTCTAAAAGTATCTTTAAATTTGTTTCCATTCCTAAATGTAAATCAAACTGCCTGGCTTTGCACAGACTCAAGCCTGACACCTAATCTGATTAATTAGAAGGCCTTAAAGGGTGGGTTAATTTCACCCCACCCAGAATGTACTTATGAGTCTCCAGGGGTTGGCAATAACAGAATATCACCAATATCAGGGGGAGCCTGGAAGCGGTGGGCCTCAAAGACCTTTAACACACTAGTCATGGAAAACTGTGAGTCTTACTTTTTTCTCCTAACCATCATTCTTTGTTTCCCTTTTTGGTTTACAAATGTGGATTTGTAGAATACCCTTCTATCCAGATGTATCTCATTATTCACTATTGCACCTCTTTGGTGCTGTCCAAAAATTTTTAAGATTTTTTTGTAATTTGCCTCAACTTTCATGATTGTTGAAACTTGGGTGAGGCTTGCCTGCTAGCAATTGCAGGCCCCTTTTTTAGAAAAGATTTTATTTATTTTTAGGTAGAGAAGGAGAGGGAGAGAAACAATGGTGTGTGGGAAAAACATCAGTTGTTTGCCTCTCACACCCCAACCGGGCACCAGCCCGCAACCAAGGCATGTGCCCTGACCAGAAACCAAACTGGTGACCCTTTGCCTTGCATAATGACACCCCAACAACTAAGCCACACTAGTCAGAGCCAGGCCTGGCTTGAATTTTCTAATCCTGCTCTACCTGTGCCCTGAAGTTTCTCTCTTCTGCTGATGTACAATTAATATTGAGTCATTTTTACTGAGAGCCACTGGTCTTAAATTGTGTTATTTTCTTTGATCCTCAATTTAGTGCTGTGCAAGGAAATCTAAAAGATCTAATGACTATGATATGCCTTCATCATGCTCCGGGCTTCCTAAACAGCACATGAATGGGGGGTGAGAGGGCAAGGTACTATTTTTTCAGGCTGCAGAGGGTATCCCTTGTAACTCTGTATCAAGTAATTATAAAGGACAGGTGGAAGAGTCAGGCTCCCATTAAACTGCCACTAGATAATAAAGCCACAAGCCTTCAGAGATTGGGGTTGGCTGGAAACAGTTTCTAGACCAGCCCAGATCTTTATGTGGTAAATTCTCTCCAATGTTCACCCAGTGCCATATGCTCCTGAAGAAGGTCATACCAACTTTGTGAAAGAAGTCTTTTCCCCCCTTTTCTGCCCCTTTTTTGGCCCCTTCACATAAGTTAATATGATATCTTAGATACAAATCCTTTGCTTAAGAAAGGGAGCCAGAACATGCTTGGCATTGTTCTTAAGTTTTTGAGTTTCAGCCTCATACTTAAATTGTACTATTCTGTGTTTATCTTTTCTTTGTTTTTAAACAGTAAAATCTGTCATCCTTAGATCTTAATATTCTAAATCTCAAACTCTGTAATTAAAATGCTTAGTTAGAACATAGTGTTGTATAAGCAAGTGGTTAAGAGCTCAGGCTTGAGTGACACTCCCCAGTACAAAGGTCTACCAGCACTCTGTGACAGCTAAATGTAAACTGATTAAACCTGAATTCTTCATTTACAAATCCTTATATTTCAAGTGCTTAACAGCCACATGTGGCTGGCTGGTGGCTACCATAAAGGACAACACAAATACAGAACATTTCCACTGTCACAGGAAGTTCTTATTGGACATGACTGCTCTAGAGACAAACCACTGCTACTTACCCCTGTGATCTCTGGCAAGTTTACACACATTTCTTTTGGCTTCAGTTTTCTTATCTACAAAATGATAATAAAAAGAACTGGCATGGCCCTGGCCAGGTGGCTCAGTTGAATGGAGCATCATCCTGTGAACCAAAAAGGTTGCAGATTTGACTCCTGGTCAGGGCACCTACTTACATTATCAGTTTGATCTGCAGTTGGGGAATGTACAGGAGTCAACCGATCCAAATTTCTCTCTTATGTTGATGTTTCTCTCTCTCTCTCTCTCTCTCTCTCTCTCTTTCTCCCCCCTCCCATCTTTCCTCTCTCCTTTTCTCTTTCTCTAAAATCACTTTTTAAAAATATATAACTTCAATGAGGATTTTTAAAAAATAATTGGCATGAAGATTAAATTGTATAATCTTGTAAATAATACCCATCACATTGTATGCAGCGAATAAGTGTTTGCTATTATCATGAATGATTTTTAATCAAATCATAATCAATTTGGTTATTGGGGAAATTTTTTCCCCCAGTCTGTGCCCAGTTTGAAGGGAACTGGTTCCCCAGCTCTAGGCCATTGTCACCATGAGGATGTAAGCCCATCTTCTGATTTTTCAGGAAAAACCACAAGTCCAGATTCTTTCCATGAAATATTAGTATTGCAAATTTGGCAACTAATTCAAATATTTTTCACTTTTTAAATTTGAAATAAACAGAAAATGAAAAAAAACAGTTTAAGAAAAAAATTATAAAAACCTTCTCAGTCACCACCCAGGTCAAGAAATAGAGTTCTACTGGCCCCTAGACAAGTCCCATGTACCTCCTCACTTTCTTCAGGTGACTGCTCTTCTGGCTTTTTAAAACACGGTAGAGGGGAGGAAAATAAAAAAAAAAAAAACAGCACATGGAAGACATGAGCACATCTGTGGCCACACCAATCCCTAGGGTAACAAATTGGGATCTCTGAAGTAACTCCTATGCAATAATCTGGGCCAATTTTAGTGTAAGTGAAGTTTCCAGCCAGGTTTCTTTGAGCTCATTCCAATGAGCAAAGATGCAGGGCTGCAGCAACTAGGGCTCAGGAAACCTGTCAGAATTAATAAGGACTATTCCTGCATCAGAGTACTCAATTTCTCACTGAAAAAAAAAGATGTTCTCATGCTCAACAGAACTTCCTTACTTATCTGATCCTCAGAAGTGTCCCTGCTACTCCTGTGATAACAGATAAACAAGCTCTCAGATTGATTTGCCAGAGATTCAAAGCTGGATTTCAAATTGTACTCACTGAATAACTGAGCCCTCAATTAAGTAAAAGTCCAGCATAACAAGGTTATTGACGGTTCAGCATAACCAGACAGACTTGCCCCTGCCTTCACAGAGTTTGCGTTCTCCCAGGGCAACACAGTAAACAATTGACTATACAGATTATTTCACTGAAATTGGATCAATGCTGTGAGGAGAGAATCAGGATACTATGAGAACATTTGACAGGTGGACCTGGCGGTGTTTTAACCCTTCCTTTAGGAAAGCCTCTTAGAAAAGTCTGCACTCAGAACCTTCAAGGAAGATTCATGACAGGGTCCTAAGCATATTGCAGACAGAAGGGCACATGAAAAAACCCAAAGGCAAAGAGCAACATCAGGGAAAAGAACTGAACGCCAATGTGGACCACGGAGGGGGGAGCCATGTGACATGAAGCTGGAGTGGTACAGAAACACCAGCCAAGTCCTGGGAGGACAAACCAGTATAAGAATTTGGGCATTTATCCTGAGAACAAAAGAAGGTCCTACAGATTTTAAGGATTGTTACAATCTGATTTGCATTGTAAAAGGATCATTCTGTGTAGACAATGAATAGGAACAAGAGTAGATTCAGCAAGCCAAAATGGTGGCTTTGATTGGAGTGATGGTAGTGGTCAGAGAGGTGGACAAATGTGGGAGATGGCTGGAAGGTGAATAACAAGTTGTAATGGCTGAGGAGGAAGGGGGATGACAAGGAAAACAGAAAAATCAAGATCAGCCCCTAAATTTCTGACTTGTTCAACAAGGCAGACACTACCCCAGGAAGATAGGGCCACTAGAAGATCAGGGGTGAGCTGGCTTTTGATTTTAGGAATAATGAGTTTGAGAGTTTATGATATATCTAAGGGAGATACCAAGTGGGTGTTTAAATATACAAGTTAGGAGATAAAATACAATTTGAAAATTTCTAATGTATGGATAGTAACAGAGACCAAAGTCATCATTGAGATTGTCCAGGAGATTGAGAAGAGAGAACCAAAGATTACACCTTAAGAAACTCCAAGTCTGGGTAAAAGACCAAAAGGGAGTGACTAGAGGTCATAGGAAAATTAGGGGAATGAGTATCACAGAAGCCAGTGGAAGGTGCTGTTTCAACAACAGTGAGGTTGGGTGGTTGTAAAGTGTCTAATTCTCAGAAGCCAAGTCAAAATAAAGATGAGAGGAGCCAGAAAAATCAGCACTTGAAGGTTCTGAAGGACCTGGGAAAGGCCTCAGCCAGGTGATGAGAACAAGGCCCAGATTAACGTGGGCTGAGGAGTGCCTGAGAAATGGCCGTGTCTAAGTGGACAGCCCTTCCAACAAGTTTGGAGTCACGGGCAGGGCAGTGGTCAGAGGGGCTGAGAAAGGAGAATGGAGTTAAAGTGGTTTTTGCTAAGATGATAGATACAAACTTTAAAAGGCTTAAATGTTACTGGAAAGAACCCAGAGAGAGCAGTTAATACACAGAGACAAATGAGGGAATGGGATTCCCAGCACATTTAAGTGCTGACTTTGGAAAGGGGGACACATTGCACAGAGTTGCCATGGATAGTTTATTCTTTTTATTAACTCCAGGTTCAAAGATCTTGCCTTTATCATTCTTCCTGATGTTATTTCCTGCAAATTATTCTTTTCAAAAGGATTTAGAAAACCATGACATTGTTCTGGCAGGGTCACCTATCCCTCCTACCATGCTTTGTTTGATAATTTTCACATTAAACCAAGATGCTGAGCTTCACAGACCCTGAAAAATTCTGTAGTATAACAAAGATTTCCAAAAATGAACTACCTACCATGTTACTGGGAATTTGGTCTCCGGGATTAAACCACATATTTCTTGCCATTCTTCAGGTATCTCAATAAAATCTCGGTAAACCTTTATTTGCAGTGTTGTTCCTATGGTGATATGTTGCAAAAGCTTTAAAAATTCACGAAGAGTATATCCTAACACATTGGCTTGGCCAACACTAATCAGAACATCACCTAAAGAGAGGAAAAAAATAGCAGCAAAAATAACAAAATGGTTTAAAAGGAACATACCATTTTGGATTTCATTGTGAGGTGTTTCATTTCATGGGTTCATATTGCTGGTTCACCTTGACCAAAACCAAGAGTCAGTCTTTATTTAATAAAAATGATCACCTCACCCTGACTGGTGTGGCTTGGTTGGCTGAACATCATCCCACAAGCAAAAGGTCACTGGTTCAGCTCCCAACTGGAGTACATCCCTGAGTTGCATGTTCTTTCCTGGTTGGGATGTGTGCAAGAGGCAACCAATTGATATATCTCTCCCTCTTTTCCCCTCTCTCTAAAAATATACAAACAAAATCTTTTTTAAAAAAATGACCACTTCGGTAACTTGAGTGTCTTTTGCGTAATGAATGCATGCAAGATGTTTCTTATAGCGGTACAATGTAGATATTATATCATACTTTCACAGCATTTCTGAAGTTTTTCGTATGACAGAGATTATACCATTTATAATTGAAACATCCTTTAGAATTCTAAAAGTGTATTTCAAATCAAAAGAATGGCTATTACTCTTAAAGAAAAAGCCACTTGCATTAAGTGATGCATAAATGGCCTACTTTCCATTATAGCTGTCTGGCTTTTTCCAGTGCCCTCCACAGTAAATTGACCACATTAAACATCGGTGTTTAATTCTCCGCCTTTGTACAGTATTAGTTGAGCAAATAATTTTGCATGAAACACTGGACAATTAACATGCTTTAATTAAGCTTAAGATGTATATACAGAAAATATATTGGTTCAAAGGGATTTGACAGCTAAGGCAGAACTGGACAGGAAGGGAAACATAATGGTAAAGCATAGAGCTTCTGAGCTTACAGTAGATGGGAAGAGAACCACATCTTGACAGCAAGTTCCTGGACCCCAAAATAGGATCCTAAAAAAAGACCAATTATTCATTTGTACTCACCTCCCTACCCCCAGCAGCTGGGTTACATGGACATGTAACCTAGATTCAGCCACTGGGCACTCCCACCAGGGTCACTGAACCTGGAGCAGGATGTGCAGAGGAGTGAGGGGAGCACACCAAGTTTCCAGGGGTAGTTGTACATGGCCCTGTGTTCTCATCATTTTCCAAGCCTGGTTCTCCAGCCTTTCTGGCAATACTGTCAGACTCAATGTTCTAAATACAGTGCCTTAACAGAACTGTTTTTTCACTTGCAGTGAAGAACCCTGACTGCTACAAGGGTATTTATTATTCAGTGAAAGAAGAAGGAATACAGAGAAACTGTTTTTTTAAGGGAAGACTCACACTGGGTAAAATCTGTCTTTAGATCTAACTAGTATTAACATTCTGTCAAGTGGTAATGGAGACTTTATAACTAACATTGGATGAAGTGACTCCAATGAAGTCCCAAAGGATGTGTCTACTTCTCTGTGTGTGGGAAGCTGGCAAAACCTCAATCACCCTCCTTCCAAGATGAGACTTAAGATGAAGTAACCACATGTGCTCGTTAGTAAGTGTGCTGATCCCAAAGGAAGCCTCCAAGGAATGCCAAAGAAAAACTTCCATAGTGCTAGATTCTATCAGAAACAAAAATTCCCAGTATTCTTTTGGCTTTTGGCTCGGAGGAGACTTAGGTGCAACTTTCTTCAGTCCTTCTGAATCCGAATTCATCTGACAACATGCCATCAAAGTTTGACCCCAGTGAAATCAAAGTCATACTCCTGAGGTGCATTGATGGGGAAGTTGGTGCCTCATCTGTCCTGGCCCCCAAGATTGACCCCCTGTCTAAAAAAAGGTTGGTGATGAGCCCTGGCTGGTGTGGGATCAGTTGGCTGGACTGTCATCCCATAGATGGAAAGGCTGTGGGTTAGATACCCAATGAGGGCACATGCCCAGGTTACAGGTTCAATCCCCTAGTCAAGGCACCTACAAGTCGATGTTTTTCTCTCACATTGCTGCCTCTTTCCCTGTCTCCCCCTTCCCCTCTCTAAGAAGCAATGAAAAAATGTCCTTGGGTGAGGATAAAAAAAAAAACATTTGGTGATGACATCACCAAAGCAAACAACCTATGATTGGACTAAAAGGGTCTGAGGATTACAGTGAAACAAACCATTCAGAACAGACAGGCCCAGACTGACGCTGTACCTTCTTCCTCTTCCTTGATCATCAAAGCCCTCAGAGAACCACCCGGAAACAGAAAGAAACAAAAAACAAACAAACAACTAAGCACAGTGGAAAGAAAACTTTTGATGAGATTGTCCACATTGCCTGAGAGACATGGCACTGGTCTTTAGCTAGAGAACTCTCTGGAACCATTACAGAGATCCTGGGGACTGCCCAGTCTGTGGGCTGCAATGTTGACAACACCTTCACAACATCCTAGACAACATCATAGATTACGTCAGCAGTGGTGCAGTGGAATGCCTGGCTAGTTAAGAACTACAAAGGAAAATATTTCAGTTAAAGATCACTTGACAACTCAATTAAAAAAAAAGTTTCCAGTATTGAAGAATGTTTAGAAGGGTAGAGAAAACTTTACTTTGGTCTGAAAAAGTAGCTAAGAGTAAACTAACAAAACCAGCTTCAGAATGATGCAAGACTTCTTTCCCCCAGCTACCTGCAGATTGTATGGTCCAACGGACATTTAATTACAATGGCAAAAACTCACTGGGTGAGCTCACTTGCCTAATGTTAAAAGGAAAGTTTATAGCTGAAAGCTATGGCTTGGCACATTTTCCTTAATTATGTTGTTAAAGGGTGATTTTTATCAAGAGGGCAGAAAATAAACAGCTTGATGCCCTGATACTGTAAACCAAACATGTCATTGTATGAATGTGATTACTGTGGCACTGGATATTCACATGGCCCTTCAAAAACAAACACCAATCTAGTATTTATAAATACCAACCTTATTACACATGTTTCATTTTAATAGGCTTAGGAACCACATCATATAAACTTTGTTTCATTTACTTATTTAAGTCCACTTATTTTAAATCTACTTATTTAAATCTACTTATTTTAGTAGCAGCCAAGCCACTACTAAAAAATAGATTTATTTATTTTTCTCCGTTTCTCCTAACTAGGCTTAAGTTCCATAAGGTCCATGTGGTGTGAGACCCAGCACAGAGCAGGAAGCCTGCGCATAGCCAGCATTCAGGAGATACTTAACGAATGTGTCTTGGTAACAATGATAGCCAGTACGGGACTTGTATTTATCCTCAAAGATATTTTAATTTCTTAATATATCAGAGTCTGTTAAAGCTATACTGGCCAAAAGGAATTTAAAGTTTAGCTAGAAGCCCTGGCCAGGCAGCTCAGTTGGTTAGAGCATGAGTCCAATATGCCAAGGCCATGGGTTCAATCCCTGGGTCAGGGCACATAGAAGAATCAACCAATGAATGCATACATAAGTGGAACAACAACAAATCAATGTTTTTTTCTCTCTCTCTCCTTTCTACTCTCTCTCTAAAACCAATAAATAAAATTTAAAAAAAATAAAGTTTAGCCAGAACAAGTTAACACTAAACTTAATTAGGAAATCAAGATGAAACCTGTATGAAACACCGAAAGGAGAGAAATCTGAAGCACATGGATGAGAATGGGTCTGGGAAATGATGAGGTCAAAGAAACTGCAGGTTTCAAGGAGTATCGCCATCTCAAAATTTCAACCATTGTCAAAAGGAAGGAATTACAGTCTATGAAGCCTGAACCCTGAAGAGGAGTGGCTGACTTGCCATGACGAAATTTAGGACTCTGGACTTTCTCTTTATTAAAATCTCATTTCTGTCCTGGCCAGGTATCTCAGTGGGGTGGAGTGTTATCCCTATACACCAAGGTTGCAGTTTCAGTCCCTGGTTAGGGCACAGAGAAGAGACAACTAATGAATGCATAAACAAGTGGAGCAACAAATCTCTCTCTCTCTCTTCTTCCTCTCTCTCTAAATCAATAGAAAAAAATCATTTCTAGTCAAAGGTAGAGACTTTCTAGGTAGACCTGGTTCAAGTCCCAGCTCTAACCGCTCAGCTCTGTGTATTGTTTCTTTACCTAACTAAGCCTCTATATTTCATTATCTACCCTCCAGCAGTGTTGCAAAATTAAATTAGATAATATAGAAACACAATGCACAATACCTAGGTAAAATACTCAATTATTATTCATTCATTAAGCACAGACATAATAAATATGCCAGTATTACAGGTAAGTACTGAATTTCAAAGATGAATTCAAGATTGTCTCTGACCCTGGCTGGGTAGCTCAGTTGTCCAGTGTGTTGTCCCAATGCACCAAGGTTGTGAGTTCCATCCCCAGTGTCAGGGCACATACAAGAATCATCCAATGAATGCATAAATAAGAGAAACAACAAATCAACTTTTTTCTCTCATTCTCTTCCTCTTTATTTTTTAAAGATTTTATTTATTTATTTTTAGAAAGGGGGTAGGAGGAAGAAAGAAATGGAGAGAAACATCAATGTGTGGTCACTTCCCACATGCCCTCTCCTGGGAACCTTGGTGTGACCATGGGCAGGTTTCTAAAATATCTGATTCCTTATCTGTAAGGTCCTTTTTTTTTTTTCTTTTTTGTATCCTCACCCGAGGACATTTTTTCATTGCTTTTAGAGAGGAAGGGAGAGAGAGAAGCATAAATTGGTTGCCTCCCATATACACCCAGGTTGGGGATCATATGTACCTGCACTAGGGATTGAACCTTCAAACTTTCAGTTATGGGATGACTCTCCAACCAACTGAACCACACCATCCAGGGCTCTGTAAGGTCCTTAAAATAGCAGAGTCTTCTTCAGGAGACTTCTTTGTCAGGAGGCTAAAATGAGGTCATGTATCTAAATGTTAATGACTAATACTGCCTACCAGAGAGGAAATCTTTATCCACAGTGAGCCATGAGCTCTGCAGTGACACTGCCTGTGTTTGTATTCCACGTGCTAGATGGGGGTGAAACTGGAAAAGGAACTCAATTCTCACTGAGCCTCAGTTTCCTCACCTCCTAAAAGAGGAATGATAATACTTTCTACCTAGAGGGTTATTATAAGAATTCAATGAACAAATAATGTGCAAGAGGGAGGGTTACATAAGTGATGGCAACTGGCTGACCCACAGAAAGCTCTCAGACAATATCATCATTATGGTTACACTGAAACCTAATAACCTGAGTGTCCCCAAAGGCAGCGGGAAGGAGGCAGGGTTGGGTGGCGGAAGGCATGGGGAACCACAGTCACCTGGCTGGAGTTTTCCATCCCTGGCTGCAGTCCCCTTCTTGATGAGGTGTGTGATCTGGAGGTAGGGCCCTTGCTGGATGATGATCAAGCCTAACCCCAGGCTTCCCACAGTGAGTTTGGTCTGCTGAGTTTTGCTCAAGTTGTGCACAGATGACTTGACCTGCAAGCTGATTTGTTTTTCTAATAAAAAGAGGGGGATATGTTTTAGACCTTCACGGAAACAGAAGCATGAGAATCGTCACTGGGGCTCTAAAGCCAGACCTCTAGGGAAGTTAACCTTTCCACTCTTCAGTTTCCTCCCCAGTAAAGAACAGTGTCCACCTGAGGGGGTTATTATGAGAATTAAATAAGACAGTGAAAGAAAGGCTTTTGCACAGTGCTTAGCACATTATGAATGTTTAATTAACATTAATTATTATTATCCATTCACTTAACATATATTTGTGGATTCAGGAAGTGTTTCTTCTACTCATGGATCTTCCCACCTAGTGCAGGAGACAGATATCTATTAATCATCTAAATATGTTGAATAACAGCTATAACACATGTTATGAAGGAAAAGTATAGAAGGCTCAGGGTGACCAACAGGAGGTCAAGGTCTCCTGTGGGGAAGGCAGACCAGGCTTCACAGAGGAGGTAAAACTGAATTGAGGTCCAAAGAACTAATAGAAAATATTTAGGAAAAGGACATGGAAGGGAGTAAACTGTATCAAGATTCAGAGACAGGAAAGAGCATAAAGGATACCAGTAGGGGCACACAGGAGGAGCAAAGGCAGAGCAGACCTGCCTTGTGGGTTTACCTAACTGGAAAAGCTAGAAGCAATTTATGCAGGACACAGTAAGATTTGCATTTACAAAAGAAAAAAGAAAAAAAGAAAGAAGGAAGGAAGGAAGGAAGGAAGGAAGGAAGGAAGGAAGGAAGGAAGGAAGGAAGGAAGGAAGGAAGGAAGGAAGGAAGGAATTACAAAGAAAAGAAAAGAAAGCAAACTCACTCTGGTTGTGTGGAGATTAGATTGTGGAGTCCAGAGTGGATGTGAGAAATAAAGGGGTTACCGCAATTGCCCAAGCATGTAATGGCAATGACAGTGGAAATGCACAGTTGTAAAAAAGCATTTGGGAGGAGGACCTGGGACAATGGTGGTGGGAGGAAATGAAACCTCACAAGAAAAGTTTTAAAGACTGAAGAGTGATTTAAAATAAGTTATTCTTCCAAACAGGAAGCTTTTGGGAAACTCACTTTCCGTACACAGGAACTTCTGGGGAGATTTGTTTTCTGCACATTTTCCCAATGTTTCACACACATGCAACACTTTCCTTAAGGACAAGTGACAAAGTGCTACTCACTAAGCCTTTGCCAAATTCATGTGACTGGTGTTTGGGGGGCCTGGGAGATCTTTCACTATTGAGGAAGGGCTTCCCCTGCTCTCCCTACCCCAGCTGGCAGGGTTCACTGCTATTTCTGCCCAGCAGGTGTCCTTGTCTATCTTCATCCTCTCTGCGTGCAAAAAACCTAGGGTGAAGGAGGAACTGACTCCAGAAACTTTTCAAGATTATAGGGGCATGCCCTGAGCAGTATGACTCAGTTGGTTGGGTATCGTCTGATTTCTGGTCAGGGCACATGCTTGGGTTGGGCGTTCAATCCCAGGTCGGGGCACAAACAAGAAACAACGGATCGATGTTTCTCTCCCTCTCTCTCTTGTCCCCTTCTCTCTAGGAATAACTAAATAAAGGCCCGGAGAAAATAAAAGATTTTAGGGGCAATTTAGACCAGGTGGTTTTCGTCCTCTCTTTAAGCCTACAGAAAAGTGGTCTTTTAGGCAGGGTTTCACTCTATTATGCCTCAAAAGACAGCAGGGGTAAGTGAAAGAAGCCAGACTCAAACGACTCTATACAATATGATCCCATTTTTGTGACATTTTCTGTGGGAAGGGAAAAACTACAGAAACAGATGAGGAGCTGAGGTTGGGGAGAGGTTGGTGGCCAAGGAACAGCATTTTGACTGTGGTGGTGGTTAAACATGGGTAAACGATTTTCAAAACTCACCGACCTGTGCCCTGAGAAGGGAGGCTCTTACTGTATGTAAATTATAGTCTGGTAAACAAGTAATGGCAAGAAGCCAAGAGGGTGTTGTTCCCATTTTACAGAGGAAAAAAGCGAGGAAGGCTTGTCCACTCTCTCTCCACTCACCTTTTCTGCTTTTGTAGATGGCATTCTCCATGGCCCCTGAAGGGCAGGCTGTCAAGAAGCGCCTCCCCGGGTGAGCCAAAGTCGGTCCAATTCTCAACGGTCCCTCGAATCCTGGAGGAGCGAGGAGCCAGGGTGCTTCGCCGCACGTGGTCCAATTGCGGGTGTGGAAAGACCTAGGGCTGGCGCCATGGGTTGCCCCAGGGGCTGTGCGTGACACCCAGAGGTTGATCAGTGACGTCATCGCAAGGCCTTTGGAACTTGGAAAATGGAGTGTGAATATTTCAGTAGAGAAAAACGAAACTTCTGCGGGTACTAGAACAGCGCTGCTCACAGCAAGTTCACATCCATTCCTGGGAAACTACTGAAATGGAGAGAGTGGAGAAAACACAGGGGAGGGTCTCAAAGATGTGAAATGGTCCGCAGGGGACCATCGCAGCAAGCACAGACTCCCCTGCTACCTCCCAATAAAGTTTCTAAATATTGTTACACCAACTGTTTCAACTGTTTTGGAACTGCACTTTTTTCACGGATATTTTGAATGAGAAATAGCCAAGGGGACCTGAAAAAAAATGAGTTCTGGTTCAGAGAGGAATTAATTCTTATTTTTCCAAAATAACCCTTCCTCCTACACACATTTACTCATACCAGAAGCCTGCTCTACAGTCTGTGCTGATGCACAAGACAAGACAAAACAAGGGCTCTACCTCTTGGAACTGAGATTTCAAAAAGAGATGGAATGGACAATTTTAGGAAAATATAAACGATCAAAAATAAATTTTAGAAGAAATAAAAACAAGAGAATGAGGTAGGTCCTGTTGCCCTTCCCACTCTGATTAGACTGAGAAGTTAAGCACCTTGTACTCTTGCCTTCAACAAATAGTAATCAAGTACCCATTAGGTGTCAGGCACTGTGCAAAGATGTCCAGACCTGGGAAGCTCCCAGCTTATTCAGCTGTTTCTATGGCTCTACCCAAACAATAAACCAGGGCAGGTTTCTTTTTTTCCCCACTTCTTTGTACTTTCTGGGCTTCAGTAACTCACATATCAATTTTATCTTCAGAAACTGTTTAAGAAACCTAGATGAGTTACAAAATATTTCTTATTCCAACAAATTTGCTCTTCTCTTGTTGTGAGTATTCCTCTGAAACCCAAAGACCACACTGGTTTGGGTGACATGATTTCCCTCTCATAAATCTCCTCTCAAAAGGTATTTTTTTAAAGGAAATATTTTTTCCCTAAGATTTTATTTATTTATCTCTGGAGAGAGGGTAAGGGAGGGAGAAAGAGAAGGAGAGGAACATCGATGTGAGAAAGATGCATTGATCAGTTGCCTCCTGTATGCATTCAGACCTGGAACCGAACTGCAAACCAGGTTTGTGCCCTGACCAGGGAATCAAACCTTTCGCTTTGGGGGATGCTGCCCAACCAACCGAGCTACACTGGTCAGAGCCAGGGCAGATTTCTTGTTGGATAAATTCTGTGTTGCAAAGGCTGGTGCAAAGGGAAATGAACAAAGTCGTCCTGTTTCCTACCATTCCCAACCTCAAGGAGTCTCCTGCAGGTGGCTTCTTACAATGGACGGCCTGTTTCTTCCTCTGAATCATTTGGTGAAGCAGCTGTCCAGATAGCAAATTAATTCTACCATAAAATACATCCTTTTCCTCCATTTTCCTATCAGTAGGGGAATGGTGAGTGTTAGCAGGAATGAAGCATGGCAGCATTTGAGGTTCTGTGAGGGAAGCATCTTGGGGCCTGGTACAGGGGCTCCATCCACCTCTCATCCAACTCAGGCTGAAAATGCTCTTTTGAGCAGATGCCAAGATCATACTGATTATTGGAACTGCAGGATACAAACTGTCATGGATTCTGTGCTATGCCACCCAGATGCCCCTTCAAGACTGATCAACTTTTTCTTCCTGCCTCTATCTCAACCATGCTGCTAGCCAAAGAGAGCTTCTTGCCCAAGTTCACAACTTCCCTAGTAAGCCAGTACCCAGTGACTAGTCAGTGCAAGGTAAAAACCTGCTCTGTGTACAACTCAAACAACTCTGGAGGGCCATCCTCACTTCAGAAGTCCATATGGGGCTACTGAGGTCCATCTGTGGCTGCACTGCAACTTCACTTCTTATTCTGCCTCGTCCTACTTCCTTCCCTCCCCCCACAGGTGTGGGTTCCAAGAACAGTCCCCAGTAAACTTTCTGTAACTCAGAATGTGTTTCCTAGAGAACCCACTTGCACCAGCAGTTGGCGTGGTCTGAAAGAACAGATGCTACAATAGGATTTGGGAGCTGGATGATTCACCGCCCATGTAACAATGAGGACCCCATCCACAGTAGACAGGGAAGCACTTAGATTGTTTGATTTTCCACCAGTAGTAAAACGGAGTGGTTTGGCACCCACAAGATTCATGTGGGTGTCTCTTAGCACTCCCTCATCCTATTTTGACAGTAAATAGACAAATACAGCAGCTACCACCTGAGAATTAAATGGCACCCAGGGGCTCAAATTCATCAGGTGATGGAGGGATTATGTGATGGACGCCTAGGCCTCCCACTACATAAGCCACCTAGGCCATTAGATGTGCTGGCAGAGGGTTTGAAGAATCAAGGATGATAGGAGAGGAGGGAAATGAGATTAATATCAGTTCTGCAGCTGTAGTTGGTGTTCCACTCATCCTCCTATTATAAGTTTTCCACAGGAAAAGATGCCCACCAGGGTCCTGAAGGTGCTGCTCTTTAAATTGAAAAGAAGTGTTGCACCATGTGTTCACTGTTGCAAATGCTAGTGTGTTGCCTAGGCCCCCCTCAGAGCTGAAGCTGAAGCGCCTATTCTACAGATACTGAGATGGTAGTAGGTGGGTTGACAGATCACAGCTGCCAACCCTCTCAAGGAACTGTCCTTGGCTGAGAGCCAACTTACCTAAGATCATGCATGCCCCATTCCTGGGGTAGCTAGCATCCAGTGACTGGTCCATGTAGGCATACAAAGGCTTGGCCTCTCTACCCCAGCTAACAACTCCAAAATGCCATCCAACTTCAGAGCTCCCTGTGGGGTCTGCCAGAAACCCTGTGACTGCACAGTCCTTCCTCTGCTCAGTCTATTTGCTTCCCTTCCCCCACAGGAGTTGATCTTGAGAGTACTCCCTCAGAAACCTCATGTGCACTAATCGATAATGTCTTGTCTCAGAATCAGCTCCAATGAAAGCCAATCCATTTGAGATTTGAGCCCAAGGCACAAGTTGTTAACTTCTGGATGTGGCTCTTTTGTTATATCTAATCCTGAAAACCCCAGGTGCACACATGTGGTACATCCAACATACTCTTGACCTGCATGGTCAACTTAAAGCCCAGAGTGGCAGTGTGTTCTTTACCCTGTCAGGCCAAAGAGACTCCTTGAAGTGAAAAGTTATTGCACAGGCCCATCCCCAGCTTTCCCAGAGGTCTCATCTGGATTCAGCTTCTGCTGGGCTGAGGCCTACAATCCACCACCTACAATCCATCATTGTAAAGCGCTATCTGTTCACAGCCCTTTAAAAGTGCAGGATGGGTATTTATGACTTCAGGCTGCCAGCATAGCTCCCTCCTGAGGCATTCTATGTTCTTCGGTCCCTTAGGACTTTCTACCTCCGTGGCTCATCCTCTCTCTGGAAAGTGTTGGCTGTTTTGCTTAGGGGTGATTAGATGTGGAGGTTCTATCACCAAAGCAGAGTGCCTGACTCTGCTAGGTTATATGGGGGAGAGACCCAGAGAGGTGACATGAAGGTCAAGTCAGTAGCAGGTGTAGGACTACAATATGGTTCTACATTCTTTTTTAAAATTAAGATTTATTTTTAGACAGAAGGGGAGGAAGAACGAGAGGGAGAGAAACATCAATGTGTGGTTGCCTTTCGTGGGCCTTCTACTGGGGACCTGGCATGCAACCCAGGCATGTGCCCTGACTGGGAATCAAATCAGTGACCCTTTGGCTTGAAGGCTGGCACTCAATCCGCTGAGCCACACCAGCCAGGGCTAGTTCTATATTCTTTTTTACTCTGTTGTACCACCTCTAACCCCCTGGGGTTTGCCTCTACTAAAATCTAGACTGAGACATAGAGAAGGGAACTGATCTTTCCCATAGGCCTCAGAGAGACTTGAGACTTTGAAACACCAGGTACTGGGAGAAAAGAGAGATGTGGGACTGAAAATAGGATTAATGGGAAATCTGTAAACATGGTATTTGGTCTTTGACCATCCCTCTACCCCCTACTCCCATTGTCTGCAGTGATGTATGACCATTCATCGGATAAAAATGTTTTAATTTTTTTAACTCCATGCTGGTTATTTTTATGTTTTAATCTTAAATCCAGAAACTTTTGTGGAGGGGCAAAGGCAAGAGGGACTGGGAAGTGCTGTTGGGTAGGAGGAATTTATATTTGGGATTTTTAAACACAAGAATCAAGTCATTATCATTCCACTCAGTTTGAATTCAAATGGGCAAACTGTTCCAAAATTTCACACTAGAATTCTCATCAACTGCCCAGTGGTGAACATCAGTGGACATTTTTTGAGAATTCAGAACTGTATAGTTGGAGTTGCTTCTATTCCTGGACAATAGAAACACCAGACAATCAGCCAAGGACACAGTTCCATCAAACTTCTCCAGCACTGAAAAAAAAAAAAAAAAAAAAAAAAGCCCTTCTGTAGTAATGTGATATGCTTATCAGAATTCCTGGAATATATGGTAGCTTGTGCCAAAAGAAAAATAAATGGCATATTTTTAAAAAATCTTTCCCCTCAAGAGACCAATGTTTGAACAGGAATGTTTATAGACTAGCAATCAAAGTGCTCCTCACCCAGTCGATGTGGTGACATTGATAACTGCACATTTCTGCAAGGCTGTTGGATTTGGTTAAATTTGAAATTTGCTGAGTTTTGGGGACATGTACCTATTCCAAAAATAGAGACAGGTGTCACTGTTCTAGGTCTTTCTAGAGATAAGCTGGGTGGCATTCAGGGAGAAAATGAGTGTCTCATCTAAGCTCTGCATGAGGGACTATCTGGATCCAAAGTCAGGGTTATGGTGAGTTAGTCCAGGAGCCAGGAAAGAAAGAAAACCTCCACTAGATGGCAAAACTGTAGATAGACAGATCAATTGTACTGTTAACAAAATATGCCAATGTTTTCTGGTTATCCATCCAACCTAAGTCTCTCCTTAGGCCCCATGTAATAAAAAGTATCACCAAATACAATTTAGGAGACATTCCTGAGTCCTCTCTTTCAACACCAATTTCAGCTAGTCGTTTTTCCCCTGCCTATGAAACACCAGATTGTCCATTTTTCTCCATCTTCACTACTCTGATCCCAGCCAAAAGAACATTTCTGTCTCCTGGAGTACTTGGCTTGTTAACTGGTATCCCTGCTTTCATTCTTGCCCCTCATCTCGACCGTCTACAAATTAAATTTTCTCACTGTCCTGTCAGTGCCTTGCATTGCACTTAGAATAAAATCCAAACTTCATCATGGCTCCCCAAGCGCAACATCAGTCCTCTGCCTACCTCTAGGTGTTTCACACAGGGTTCCCCAGCCACAGCGTCCCCCCGCCCCACCCGCGCAGCACCCAGGACAGGCCGAAGTCTTCCTTCCGTTCCCTAGTGTTTCGCGCACTTGCTTCTTCTCCCTCTGTCCTGCCCCGATCTTCATAGGTCGGGGGCTTTAGGACCGCGGCGGTCTGTGTAAGCCTTCATGTCCCATCCCCAGCTGACCTAATTCATAGACCAACACCTGAAATTATCATTAGAGACAAGGTTTAGCGTGTTTCTCTCTTCCCCAGCAAGACGTCCACTTCAAAGAGCCGAGACTAGGTCTCACAGGTGCACCCCAGTGCCTGGCGCACGGCGTCGCTGGTTATGTACTACCTGGGACAGTTCCGAGCTCACGGGCACTGAGTGGGCAATTATACAAAGTGACAGGAGCTTTGGTCCTCCAGCCGGAACACCAGCGCCCCACTTCCCCGGCCTCCATCCAGTCTCAGGCTAAGGACTGAAGGGAATTTTGTGACCAAACGGTCAACGACAAGAACAATACTATTATTAGTGGCAAGAAAGCGTGGACTGCCAAAAGACACCGGGGATGGGGCAGGGGCCTGAGCCAGGGGACCAAAATAAGGCCGGAGTGGAGCAGTTCGAACCCGCAACGACAGGCGGTCAGCAGAAACCGGAGGAAAGACTGGACCGGCGCCCCGGCTTCACTTCCGGGTGAAGGGCGGGCACGCCGAGCATTTCCGGGGCGGGCTGCGAATCCGGCTGTGCTGGTCGCTCTGCGGTTGCTTGTCCCTGGAGTGCTTAAGGCGCCAGCGGTGCGGGGCCGAAGGGGGACAAGGCGGTGGCAAGGGGACTTCGGGTCCCAACGGCGGCCCATGGGGCGCAAGGCGTGAGGCCGCGGCCTGCCTGGGGCTCGGGGGGTGGGGGGAGCGGGGCGGGGAGATGGATAAACTGACCATCATCTCAGGATGTCTCTTTCTCGCCGCCGATATCTTCGCCATCGCCAGCATCGCCAACCCCGACTGGATCAACACCGGGGAGTCCGCGGGTGAGCGGCGGACGCGCGGGAGCCGGGAGAGGGTGGTGAAGGGAGGGGACCCGGCTAAAGAAAAGTGGCTGAGGGGAGAGAAGACCTGGCATGGGCTGTCGAGTCCGGGACCAGGAAGCCGGGTGAGGAGAGGAGGCCGCCCGACCTCAGGGACCGTGGGAGAACCAGCTGCGTGCTGAATTTTTAAAAATAATTCAGGGAGACGGGAAGAAAGTATTTGGAGTAAACTGAGGAGCCGGTAAAGGAATTCGAAAGCTGGAACGGAGGCTGGGACTGGAGCGAGATTGCCTGTGTGCGAGGAAAGGCCCAGAGGTGCCAGGGCCGACCTCAACCCCAAGGAAGCTGTGAAGGGGAGAGGTGGTGGAAGAAGCAGGGTCACTGGTGCTGGGGTGAGGGCTGGCTGGGTGCTGGGTAGCACGCCCCGGTCCCCGCACCCGGCCTAGCCCCTGCCTACTTGGCAGCGTTGGAGACGCATCTGGCTTCCGGGTTTTCCCTTTGAAGTCTCTGTGTTTATAATTTGGGGTTTATATTAGATCTGAGAGCTATAAGGCTACTAATAATAAACTTCACTTTATGGAGCATCTTTCATTCTAAAACATAACAAAACGCTTTAAAGATCTTAATAGTAGTTACAAAATTAAGTAACACAGCAGAGTTGCAGGCAGCCGAGCAGCAGTAGCAGTGTCTGCTGTAACACCGCGGAGCTGTGAGCAGCAGGGCAAGGAGGTGCTGGTGGAACAGAGGTGGCATCTTTCTGAAGAAAAGATATCGCAGGTGAATGCCCGAGCTTGCTTTCTAACTGCATGTTAAGTGCAGATGAAGGGATTGTTGGGGGCTGGGAATGTTAAGCTCCATCAGTGAATTATTTGTTACAAAAATGTATCACTAAGTTGTCAAACTTCTAAAGTATTACTCATGGTTCTGTATATCCTGGAATATTTTTAGCCCTTAAAAAAGGCTGTAGCTAGGACATTTGTTGCTTCCTCCTCTCTCCCCTCTCTTCCTCATATAGACCTAGTAACATAAAATCATGCTGTCATCTTTGCTGGTTATTACAATAACACTCTAAAAATTCTGCTCTTGCTTATACAGTTTTAGCGCAGCTCTTAATTGTAAAGCATAGTATATATTATCCTGTGAGGTGTTAGCTAATGCTATGGTGGCAATCCTATTATAGTAGATAAGTGTATGAAGTCAGCAATTGTACACCTTAGACATACATAATGCTATATGTTAATTACACCTCAATTTTTTAAAATTGCAAAGCATATAAAGTATCACAATGGTTTAGAATTTGGTGAAACAGTGGGCTTTATTTCTGAAAATGTTGGCAACATCAGCATTACTAGTTTGTTTAGTGTATGTGTGACACCCAAGTCATGACCTGTTCTCGTTTTTATCCTAATTATATGTTCAGTGACTCCTTTTATGAGATTTTCTTTGGGACTTTGCATACTTAAGGGCAAGGAAGTTTTCCTGTTTTGGCAGAAAAGATCCTTTCTGTAAAAAAGTTTCAGGCAGAATTCCATTGTATAAAATAAACTGAATAATCCCTGGGAAGTTATACTTGAGCTCAGGAACTGTTACCTGTACAGGAGAAGAAGGAACTAAGTAATAGTATAACATTCCTGAGAAGATGGAAAAGGGCAGTATTCAAAGCACTGGGAAAGTGTATAGCTCCTCTGTTATATTCGAAAGAAAGCAAGGATAGAATGAGTACCTTCTATGTACTTCAGATTAGTAGGCTAAGTCTTGTGCTGTGAATTGCTGTAGAGATGGGAGAGATAAAAGTCCAAGGTTTGAAGTAAGTTAAAAATGTTTGAAATAAATAGTTGTAGAGGAAGCATGCTAACTGGTGACATAGTAGGATTGTCTAACAGCATACAAGCCTCATAGAGGTTGGTGGTCATGAATACACAGTATAATAACCTATCTGCTTGTTGATCTTTACTAGGAGTGCTCAGCTTCTTTGGTACCAGTATGTGGTGAAAGCCAATAGAAAGCTTCATTCAGGGTTGGAGTTTGCCAGCTACATGGAACAAAATGACAGTGGAGCAGAGATATTGGTCAGAATATCAACATGATGATGGTTCATGGACTCTCAGTGGGTAAAGAGTAAAATTGAATAAAAGAAAGAAGACTTGTCAGTGAATAGCAGACAGTAGATGGTCAATGGAAGAGTTGACTCAATGGAATCAAAGACTTGACTAGGAGTGGTTGATACAGCAAAGTGGGAGTACAGAGGATTGTGGACATAAGGTCCAGAGTGCAACAGTGGGGATGTATGGCTAGTGGGGTGAAGGAGGTAATTTTTTTCTTAACAGTTTCCCCTTACTATCTCAAGATACCCTTCAGTTAAATATTCTGTAGCTAGAAGGAAGAATGAGTAATAGAAGATAGTAGGAACAGTAGGAAAATTTTCAAAATCATAACTAACCCATATTTCTTAACTATGTCAGACAATAAGCCCCTAGAACTTCAAATGAACGGGGTTATGTTCCTTTGTTCACTCCTTTGCTCTTGCACTGTGATAAGATGCACCTGAATTTTACCTGGTGTTTGATTGAGCTTGTGTGCTCCTTTTACCTGAGCAGACAGATTTAGTGTTTAGTTAAAAAAAGTTGGGGCAGGGTTGCATCTACCAAATCATTGAAACACAGGAAGTTCAACTAAGACCTCAGAATTGACAGAACTATCTTTATTCTAAGATCTGCACAAAAGTGACTTAACCTGGCAGTAAAAAGTTGTATTGGCTTCTTTTGGTGCATTATGTACAGTATAAACTTTTGTATTTTTGTTTGTTTTGATTTTATTTTAAAAATACTTTATTTATTTTTAGAGAGAGGTGATAGGAGGGAGGGAAACATTGATGTGCAAGAGGCAACCAGTGTAGCCCCCAACTGGGGACCTGGCCAGCAACCCAGGCATGTGCCCTGTCAGGGAGTGGAACTGTCCACCTTTTGGTGCACAGGCCAGTGCTCTAGCCACTGAGCCACACCAGCCAGGGCTATTTGTTTTGACATTTGAGAGAGGGGAAGGGAGGGGAGGGAGGAAGAAAGGAAGAGAAACATCCATTGGGATCTGCTGCCTTCTGACCAGGAGTGAACCTGCAACCTCAGAAGGTACACTGACTGGGAATCCAATAAGCAACCTTTGGGTTTGCAGTTTGACTCCCAATGAACTGAGCCACACCAGCCAGGGCTGTAATAAAAGTTTTGATTGTGATGTTTTTATTGTGAATTTTAAGTGAACAAAATATATCGAAAGTAGGATTCCTGGAGCCAAAAGATTCTGCAATTTGTAGGTGGAAAATCATTGCAGTGAACTAAGGCAAAGTTTCAGGATTCAGAGCCAACTTCATCACTTCTTTTGTGACTTTGAGCAAGGTATTTAGACTCTTTTTCTGATTCCTCCTCTATAAAATAGGGATAATAATAATACCTCTGTCATTGGGTTATTGTGGTGATTAATTGAGTTAATGGAAAACATTTAAAATGGTGCCTGACATATCACATAAGTGCTCAATAAAAGTTAAGCATAGTTGTATTGCTGTTATAGTTTATAGTGACAGGTGTCAGAATCCCAGTTTTGAAATTAAAGGTCAGAACTTGTTACTGAGAGAACTTGTTACAAAAATAATATGGCTAGACTTAAAACAAGTCACATAAATAGTCTTCCCTCTTGGCTTTGGACTTCACTCCCATACTTTTCCTCCTCTTTCAGTTTCTCTACTCCTTGGATTCTACTTGAACTACTACAGTGGGGAATGAAATACTCGAAAACAAAAAACTGAAAATAACTTTCTAAAATCCCAACTAATAAACTATATTACCATAAGATTATGGACCCTGCTTCTACTGGCAGAGTTTCTATTTTGTTTTTATTGTATTGCTTCAAATACAGAGAAAGTACAGTCCTTTTATTTTCATATGTATGTGGTAACATTTCCTAAACTTGTTCTAACAGTTTGAAGATTAAGCACAAACTTTTGAAGATATAATGAGACAGAAATAGATATTATGTATCTGTCTGGAGAAAGAAAGTATATGGTGGGGGCCACTTTAATAAGGACTCCTAACAGTTTCTATTCATGTAATCAAAAATATAAAATGGTAGGTGAATGTAATGACAATTACATAATTCTGCTGTGCTTAGATCAAATTCCTTCTGGTTGCTGAACCTCGACTTCAATGGCAATGTCTTTTATTTTTATACATTGCTTTATAGTTTTTGAAGCTCTTTTACATTGATGATTTGACTTGATTCCTTAGGCCCATTATTTTCGGCCATTGTAAAAAAAGTCATTTCCACGTTTTCCCCACATGTCAATGCTTTACATATGAGGTTTGAGTTTGTGTTGCAAAAACTACATTCATAACAACTCTTTTTTAAAATATATTTTATTGATTATGCTATTACGGTTGTCCCATTTTCCCCCTTCACTCCCTTCCACCCTCCATACCCTCTCCCACCCACATCTTCCCCCGCCTTTAGTTCATGTCCATGTGTCATACAAATAAGTTCTTTGGCTTCTATCTTTCCCATACTATTTTTATCCTCCCCCTGTCTATCTTCTACCTACCATCTATGCTACTTATTCTCGGTACCTTTCCCCTAACTCTCCCCCTCCCACTCCCCTGTTGATAACCCTCCATGAGTGATCTCCATTTCTGTGGTTCTGTTCCTGTTCTAGTTGTTTGCTTAGTTTGTTTTTGTTTTAGGTGTGGTTGTTAATAACTGTGAGTTTGCTGTCTTTTCACTGTTCATCTTTTTTATCTTCTTTTTCTTAGATAAGTCCCTTTAACATTTCATATAGTAAGGGCTTGGTGGTGATGAACTCCTTTAACTTGACCTTATCTGAGAAACAGTTTATCTGCCCTTCCATTCTAAATGAAAGCTTTGCTAGATAGAGCAATCTTGTATGTTGGTCCTTGCCTTTCATTACTTCAAATACTTCTTTCCAGCCCCTTCTTGCATGTAAGGTCTCTTTTGAGAAATCG